GGTTTATTTGGTGCTAAGGATTGAACCCAGGGCATTGTGCAAACAAGGCAAGCACTCTACTAACTGAACCACCTCCTCAGCTCTTTTTCATTTTTGGAGAAAGGGTCTCACCACATAGACTAGACTGGCCTGGAACTCAGAGATCCATCTGTCTTTATCTCTAAAAGTGGAGGTTTTTTTTTTTTTTAAAAAAACCTCTTTTTACATTTATTCTTTGATAATTTCATACATGCAAACAATGTATTTGATATCATATCCAGCCCCAACTTCTCACTTCTCTCCTCAGACTTGCCCAACTCATTTCCTTCCCATTCCCCTTTGCTATGTAGCACAGGCTGGCCTCAAGGCTCCTGCCATCTTTAGTGCCTCAGATAGAATTACATGCGTACATCATCAAACCTGGCTTTAATTTTTATAAGATGTATGCAAATTACTTTGCTTTTAAAAGGCTGTAAACCACAATATGTTATTTAACTGGTTATTAGAAATACAAGTACTGGTCTGCGTTAAATTCATGGCATGGTTGAGGATGACCCTGAACTTGTGAACCTCCTAAGTGCTAGGATCATAGGATTGCAGCACCATGGGCCCAGGACTTTGTGCGTGCTAGGCAAGCACAAAATTAACTTACATCACCAGCATCGCAAAAAACACTTATTCTATGTGTTTCTACTGAAAGGATTCTGTGTGAACCTTTGTTATCTCAGTCTCATTAGGTAGCCCTGGATGCCTGGAACTCATAAGATCCACTTGCCTCTGCCTCCTGAGTACTGGAATTGAAGGTGAGGTGTGTGTCACCTCGAGAAGAGCTGTACCAGGCTTTTCTTTTAGGCCACCAACCAGCTCCCAAATCATGACCTGGACCTAATTTAGGCTCCTTTTAGACTAGCTCTTTTAACTTAAATTAGCCTGTTTCTCTTTATCTTCTTTTTTGCCTCAGGGCTTTTTACTTTTCTTTCCCTTCTGTATATCTTACTGGCGTCTTGCCCCAGGCGTATCCCTTGTTCTCGTCTCCTTTCTCCTTTCTCATTTCCCTTTCTTGTTCTTTCCAGAGCCTAGAGTAGGCCTCTTATTTATTCTCTCTGCCTACCAGCCCTGCCTATCCTTTCTCTGCCTAGCTATTGGCCATTCAGCTCTTTATTAGACCAATCAGGTGTCTTAGGCAGACAAAGTGAAACAAATGCAACACATCTTTCCATAATTAAACAGACATTCGTACATTGTTAAACAAATGTACCATAACCTTTACATGGTTAAAGTAGTATTCCACAGCATAAATAAATGTAACACATCTTTACATAGTTAAAATAATATTCCACAACAAATGGCCATATCTATTTTTTTAAGGATTTTTACAATTTTATTTTGTGTGCATTGGTATTTTGCCTGCATGTATGTCTGTGTGAGAGTGTCATATCTTGGAGTTACAAACATTAACTAGTTGCCATATGGGTGCTGGGAATTGAACCCGGGTCCTCTGAAAGAATAGTCAGTGCTCATAACCACCTAACCATCTCTCTAGTTCCTTAAAGATACTTTATAATTAAACTTTTTTAAGTGGGTAGGTGTTTTTCTTTCATGTCTGTGCACTACTTGTGTGCCTGGTGCTTGAGTTGGTAGAAGAGGGCATTGGATTCACTGGAAATGGAGTTACGGACAGTTGTGAGCCACTCAGTAGACGAGTGCTGGAAAGCAAGCCTGAGTACCCTGGAAGAGCAGTCAGTGCTTTTTTTGTTGTTGTTAGTGGTGTTTTCCTTTTTTTTTTTTTGTTTTGTTTTTTGTTTGTTTGTTTTGTTTTGTTGTTGAGACAGGGCCTCTCTATGTATGCCCGGCTGCTGACATGGCCTCAGACTTACAGAGATCTTCCCCACCGTTCTTCCCAGTGCTGGGATTAAAGCCATGCACTATCACACACGGCACAGCTGGTGCTCTTGCCTTCTGTGTCATCTCTGCAGCTCCGATTTCATTTTTCTAAAACTATTATTTTTTATTTTATGTGTATGGGTGTTTTACCTGCATGTTTATCTGTGTACCACATTTAGATGACCTAGAACTAGAGTTGCAGGTGATTGGGAGCTAAAATAATTGCTGGGAATCGAACCCAGGTCCTCTGGAAGAGGAGCCAGAGCTCTTAACCACAGAATCATCTCTTTAGCCACCTCACCCATTTTATTTTGTAACTAGATTTGTGTGTGTATGTGCACACGTGTGTGTGTGTGTGTGTGTGTGTGTGTGTGTGTGTGTGTGTGTGCAGGTGCCCGAGGAGCCCAGCAAGAGGGCATCAAATCCCCTGGAGCTGGATTTACAGGCTGTCCCACTTGGGTGCTGGGAATTGAACTCAGGGTCTGTGGAAGAGCACTAAATGCTCTTACTCACTGGGCCATCTCCAGCCCCCATTATATCTATTTTCATTCCTGGCCCTCTCTTTTGAGATTCACAACTGCCTAACTTATCTGGACATCTTCCCAGGAACTCTGAATAGAGTATTTTGCAGATTAGCCCTGAGCCTAGCACCTAGGAAATCTTCTATAAAAATGAACTATTATTGATCATCAACATTATATTTTAGCTCCTGCTGTGTGAGCTACTTCTTTTTGCTTTCTGCTCCTTAGTGGCTTCCCCAAATCACTTATTCACTGGCAGTATCTTTGGCCCTGGGTTATTTGTTGTCTCTGCAGGACGCCCAGGGAAGAATCCAACCTGGTTTTCCCATCAGCAGAGAAAAACTGAAGCAATAAAAATATATTCCCACACCAAGCCCACAGTACCCTGAAGGATCATTGTGGTGGCATCCTCTCTGGTGGGTCCATGCAACAATTTCCTTCCAGGGGTCTATTCTAGAAGAGCAAGACTTATGCTATGGTACAGTTCTGACAACAAAGTCTGCTGAATACTACAGAAATCCAATCTTGTTATTTATATAATGGCCTTTAAACTTTCTGTACATACAAAACTGCGTTTCATTATGATATTTTCATACATATAAATTCTTATATTCTGTTCTTGTTAGCCCCATTCCAAATGTGTGTATTTGGCTTTTTTCGAGACAAGGTTTCTCTGTGTAACAATCCTGGCTGTCCTGGAACTCACTCTGTAGATCGCCTGACCTCGAACTCACTGAGATCTGCCTGCCTCTGCCTCCTGAGTGCTGGGATTCAAGGTGTGCACCACCACTGCCTGACTCCCACTCCCTATATTTTGAACCATCAACAAGGAAAAGTTGGAAGCCTCACCCAGGGCAGCACACTGGTAACACCAGTCAGTAGCTCTAGGTTGGAGCGGACCAAGGACCCATTCCAGCCTTATCTCTCAAGATCTGAGCCACCCGCCAGGTGGTGGTGGGGCTGCACATGCCTTTAATCCCAGCACTCGGGAGGCAGAGGCAGGCGGATCTCTGTGAGTTCGAGGCCAGGCTGGTCTACAGAGTTAGTTCCAGGACAGTCTCCAAAGCGACAGAGAAACCCTGTCTCAAAAAACAAAACAAAACAAAACAAAAACCCAAAAAACAAAATAAATCAAACCCATTGTTGAAAAAAAAAAAAAGAGCCAAGCATCGGTTTTTTTCTAAGCCTACCGATCGCAGCTACTGCTCTAGCACCGTGCACACCACCATGAAGATAATGGACTAAATCTCTGAAACTGTAAGCCAGCCCCCAAATAAACGCATTTTTAGAAGAGTTGCCTTGGTCATGGTGTCTCTTCACAGCAACAGGACGGTAACTGGGACATAGATCTTTAAAACAAACAAAACTCTACAACTCTCATAGAAAGCTGAATTTCTCCTATACATAACACTTGATGACCATAGGGCACAAGTACTTCATGTATGTAGTGTGGAAAAACAAAAAATGCAGAGGACACCATGAAAATGCTTTCATTTTTCTCACCCTTTTTGATGTATCTCAGTTTCATGGGCTTCAACCTAGTAGGTGTCAGACACCATTCAAAAGCTTGCTGTATGTATTAAACAAGCTTCAAATTCCTCAACTACTCCAGAAGGTAAGGAAGGACAATCACGGTCCCTTGGGTAACTGCAGTTCTCGTAAAGAGAAGCTGGAGGATCAGGCAGGAAAGTGGGGGCCAAAATGGAATTTCGGCGGGGCGACGCATTTCTCCAGGGGCGGTCTCCATCCACGAAGTACCTCGTGAGCTCCGGCCCGGGCATCCACAGGTTTCTCGGGAAAGGCGCCGCCTGCGCCTTCTCCACCAGTCTTGCTAGAGTAGGCGTATGCTTTACGAACAAAAGCGTTTGGAGTGACCGCTTCTATAGCCTCTCAACGCCGAGCACAACCCCGCGCCCCTGGCTCAGTACAACTTTCAATTGGTGAAGTGGCCCTGGAGGAGGCGGGACGGAAGGGAAGTCCCGCCTTCCTCGGCACTTCAGCCAATCACAGCATCTGAGACGTGTTAGGTTGCATCCGTGTGTAGCGTTCTGAGCGGCCTGAGGGCGGGCGGGGGCCCGGCGGGTCGCTGAGGTGGGGGTTGGTGGAGGACTCTTCCCGAGGGCGCGCGGAGCCGAGCCGGTGACAGACGCGCACGCGTGCGTGCGCTCCCGACTCCTGCGCGGCCCCGCGACCCCCGTCGGGCCGCTGTG